CAGGACAATATGCAACTGAAAACTCACACCCCAGAAGTGACTCGAACCCATACTCCCAGGAGCAACGCAACTGGTAACTACAGGGCGCCTTAATCCGCTTGACCATCACGGCCGGACAAAAGGAAGTGGTAGCCGAAGCTATTTGAACCACTTCCCCGCCGGCAACTCGGATGGTAATCTTGGGCATAGCATTTCACCAAATCACCTCATTCTTTGGGGGACACGTGAGGAACACAAATGCGAACAAGCCTGAATAGTCCCCAGGACTATATGCGACTGAAAACTCACACCCCAGAAGTGACTCCAGCCAGCCTGCAGGAACATCCTGGCAAACATCCTCTGGATGTTTCCTGCCAGCCTGCAGGAACATCCTGCCAGCCAGCCTGCAGGAACATCCTGCCAGCCAGCCTGCAGGAACATCCTGCCAGCCAGCCTGCAGGAACATCCTGCAGCCATGACTGCAGAGTCGTGGCTGCAGCTTAAGAAATGCTTAAGCAGACACGACTCTCCATACAGAGAAGAAATAAATTAAACAGGGAGATTGAAGAAATCGAACAGAGACTGAAGCATTCCTATCAGACTGAAGAAAGGCAACTAGAACAGAAAGCAATTCAAGAAATAAAGAAAAACCCAAAATATTTCTTCACATATGCTAAATCAAAAGCGAAAACCACTGCCAGTATTGGACCTATTTGTATTAGTGAAGGTTCATACACTGAGGATGACAAAGAAATTAGTGAAATCCTAAAAAAGCAGTATGAAGACATGTTTAGCACTCCAATACTCAGCATGAAAGTGGGAAGATTCGGACAATTTCTTTATGAATGATACTCAAACACCTGTAAATATAACTGATATCAACACGAGCGTGGCAGATTTTGAAAGAGAAATTGACAATATGCCCATGCACTCAGTATAGTGTGGAGGAAGAGCTTGGACACAGGGGAGATACCAGATGCGCTAAAAGCAGCAGACATTGCCCCTCTACACAAGGGTGGTAGCAAAGCATTGGCAAAGAATTATAGACCAGTTGCACTAACGTCCCACATAATAAAAGTATTTGAAAGAGTGATCAGGAGTCAGATCACTAGATTCATGGAAACCAATGACCTCCACAATCCAGGCCAGCATGGATTTAGAGCAGGAAGATCATGCGTTTCACAGCTACTTGACCACTATGACAAAATCACTGAGGCATTAGAGGAAAAGCATAATGCAGATGTCGTATACACAGATTTTGCAAAGGCATTCAACAAATGTGACCATGGAGTGATTGCACACAAAATGAAGTCAATGGGTATAACTGGTAAAGTAGGACGCTGGATACTCAATTTCCTGTCGAACAGAACACAAAGAGTAACAGTCAATCAAGTAAAATCGAGTCCGAGCGCAGTTAAAAGCTCTGTACCTCAAGGTACAGTCCTTGCACCACTGCTGTTCCTTATTCTCATATCAGATATAGACAAAAACACAAGTCACAGCTTCGTGTCATCCTTTGCAGATGATACAAAAATCAGCATGAAAATTACCTCTGCTGAAGACATTGATAAACTACAAACAGATATTAACAAAGTTTTCGATTGGGCAGTAGAAAATAACATGATGTTTAACGGTGATAAATTCCAGGTACTCAGATACAACAAAAATGAGGATCTTGAACATAATACAGAGTACAAAATACAATCGAATCTGCACATAGAAGGAAAACAGCATGTCAAGGATTTGGGAATAATGATGTCCAACGACCTAACGTTTAGGGAGCATAACCAAGCAAGTATTGCGTCAGCCAGAAAAATGATAGGATGGATTACGAGAACCTTCAAGTCCAGAGATCCCATTACAATGGTTGTACTCTTCAAAATCACTCGTGTTATCCCGTCTTGAGTACTGCTCAGTACTCACTTTCCCCTTCAGAGCAGGAGAGATTGCTGAAATTGAGGGAATACAAAGAACATATACAGCACGCATAGACGAGATAAAGCACCTAAATTATTGGGATCGTCTCAAAGCTCTCCAAATGTACTCACTAGAAAGGAGACGAGAGAGATACCAAATAATATATACATGGAAAATACTGGAGGGACAGGTCCCAAATCTGCACAGTAAAATAACAATGTACTGGAGTGAACAACATGGAAGAAAATGCAGAATAGAACCAGTGAAGAGCAGAGGTGCCATGGGCACAATCAGAGAACACTGTATGAACATCAGAGGTCCACGGATGATCAATGTCCTACCAGCGAGCATCAGAAATATTACAGGAACAACCGTGGACATCTTCAAGAGAAAACTAGATTGTTTTCTCCAAGGAGTGCCGGACCAACCGGGCTGTGGTGGGTATGTGGGCCTGCGGGCCGCTCCAAGCAACTGCCTGGTGGACCAAACTCTCACAAGTCAAGTCTGGCCCCGGGCCGGGCTTGGGGAGTAGAAGAACTCCCAGAACCCCATCAACCAGGTATCAACCAGGTATCCGGCCAGCCAGCCTGCCAGTAAGCCTGCCAGCCTCTCCCTCTGCCTCCCTCTCTGCCTGCCAGCCTGCCAACCTGCCTGCCAGCCTTCCTGCCTGCCTGCCTCTTTGCCTGCCTGCCTCCCTCTCTGCCAGCCAACCTGCCATCCAGCCTGCCTCACTCTCTGCCAGCCAGCCAGCCTGCCTGCCTCACTGCCTGCCAGCCTGCCTTCCTCCGTCCCTGCCATTCTGCCTGCCTGTCAGCCTGCCTGCCAGCCAGCCAGCCAGCCAGCCAGCCAGCCAGCCTGCCTGCCTGCCTGCCTGCCTGCCTGCCTGCCTGTCTGCCTGCCAGCCAGTCAGCCAGCCTGCCAGCCAGCCTGCCAGCCTGCCTGCCTGCCTGCCTGACTGCCTCTCTGCCTGCCAGCCTGCCTGCTTGCTAGACTTTCCCTCCCTCCCTAATTCTTCCATCCTCCCTCACTACTTCCCTCCCTTCCTGCCTACCTCCCTCACTACTTCCATCCCTTTCTGCCAACCCGTTCTCGCAAATTCGTAAAGTCAATATTGACTTATTAACTACGTGCATAGGTGATATACTAAACATAATAGATACCCTTAAAAAGATTCATAGAAAACACCGACCTTACCTAACCTTGTTAGTATCTTAAGATAAGCATCTTATTGCTTCGTAATTACAATTATTACTTAACCTATACCTATTATAGGTTAGGTAATAATTGTAATTACGAAGCAATAAGATGCTTATCTTAAGATACTAACAAGGTTAGGTAAGGTCGGTGTTTTCTATGAATCTTTTTAAGGGTATCTATTATGTTAAGTATGTCACCTATGCACATATTTAATAAGTCAATATTAACTTATTAAATTTGCGAGAACGGGTTGCTTTCTGCCTACCTCCCTCCCTTCCTGCCTACCTCCTAGCATCTCTCCCTACCTCCCCCTCCCTCCCATTCTCACTAATTCTCCCCCCCTCTCTCTCATACTTCCTCTCACCTAAGCTCCCCCATCCATCCACCCACCAGTCAGCCATCACTGATGCAGTACGTGCATTTGGAGCTGACATGGTGCACAGATGTTCCTTCATTGTGAAGTTATGTAAAATAAAATCACAGAATGAACACTCCACCCTCGTGACAAATCAAAATAATAGCAATAATAGGCCGTAAATCTGTGAAGTCACAGGGTAGAAGGCCCTCTATAGAGTAGTGGTGCCTGATATGGTCAGTGGGCACACTGGATCATCTCCCACCACCCCCACCACGGACTGGCGCGAGGCTTGGCAGATCCCTTCCTACCCGAACTTTGTTCCTGTAGCATGACTCCCCAACCCCAATTGGGAAACTTTAAGTTTCGGAAAACTAAAGTTCGGAAACCAAGTGGTGCTCTGTACTTACATTGCACCTCGGGGAAAGTGACCCAAAGCACATGCAGGCCGAGTACCTTGGAATATTACTCCCAGCTCACACGTCACCGTAAGAGCAGCACTGAAAACAAATGACAGCAGAGCACAAGAGTCTGGAGCTGGAGCCATACGACTGTCGTATCCCATCAGCCGAAGAACTGGGGTGTAGATCGCTGGAGCGGGGGTCTGGGGCTCCCCTTTTTCCCCACCCGGGGAGGGGGGAGCTGCGCAGACATATGGCGCGGCTCGTGTGACATCATGCTCGTTTGCTCGTTTTCATTTGGGGAGTTCTGTCCACTCGTTTGTCTATTTTAGTCGTTTTCACCAGAATAGGGGTTTGTTTTGGGGCGCATACCTTTCTGGGTGCCTGTCCCGGTCGTTGGCAAATACAGAATGCTCCACAATCACATGTGCCATGCTCTAGGCCATTGCTCCTCGTGCCTCTCTGAGGGGGTCAGGTTCTGGCTTGTGGTTCCCCAGTAGGCTTAGAACTCCACCCACATTGACTGATGCCAAAGTTAGGGATATCCTTATCAGCCTGGATAGCTCCAGGAAGCTGTAGGGGCTCCCCCAGAAAATTTTTTTTATTTTTTATTTTTTTTTTTGAGTTGTAGAAGGTTGGAAAAGGTTGAGTGCAATGTATGCCAAACCCATCAAAGTTTTAGAGTGCTATTTAAGAAGGATTGCTGGCAAGAAGAGACATGATGGGTGTAGCTCTCATCCTACAACTACACTTAGGAAGCTACACTTGAGTAAATGCACGCACCATAGCAACGTAACACAATCAAGCTTGGAAAGCAAAAGTGTCGAAAAGATGTCTCAAAGTTCTCTTTTGTGGAAGACTGGAATAATTTAAGTGAGCAGGTGGTGAATGTCAGCAGTTTCTAAATATCATACAACAAAGATTATAAGGATGACGGAACACCACGAGCGTTGCTCTCGACCCTTACCTACAGTTTGATTTTGAGACACACCACTCTAACACCACAGACATACTAGTACCATATACAGTGCTAAGAAATCAATACCACACACACATCTTATATGTGCAACGTAACTTAAGATAGTACTGTGTACTAAAACTACTTGATGTTCTTGGGTTGTTCTTCCTAGCACAGCAGTTCTCTCTCTTACCTATCTCCAGCTGGTGGGCCATGTTGGTCCTCATTCAGTTTATCCTCGTGGAGTCACTTGTCATTTTTCTAAGCAATTTGCAGTTTTATATGCAACTGATGTTGACAACTCGACAATTTCTGCATTAAGAACTAGGTTCATACACTGCAAACATTTTCACTTGGTTTATCTCCTTGGCCCTGAAACAATATTTTTGCATAAGAAATCATATAAACTTAAACAAAAAATTAGATTTTCACCTCTAAAAATTGTTTTCTATGTAAGGCAGTGTAAGAGCACTTACATCTAAAGAGCAGCAAGAACTGCTACTGGAGGATACAGTGTGTGAAACAGGGTCATGCTATTTCTACAGACATATTACACATGATCTGCAGTACTACGCACAGATGTCATACTGTCCTGCAAACATACAACATAATGACCCCTATTATTACCTTGTTATGTATTAGAAAGTTGTTACAGATTGCTATAAAGTTTTTATGACATGTTAGAAAGTTTTTACAACTTGTTAGAATGTTGTAGCAATGTTGTACTTTCGCAGTGTGTTTGGAGGGTGGAGATCTTCCTTCCACGTACAGTGCAACCTCGATTTGGCAAACCTCAATTCGGCGAATCTAAAGTTAGGACGCATACATTTCAGGCCAGATTTACTCACCCATTTTGACGAACTCTTGTTCGCTTAACCCCCCTCCCCATCTGACCCGTTGGCGCTGTGAGGGGGGCTTAGTGGACGGATGCTGGAGTGTGATGCTCCGTGGGACAGTCCTCTGTCCTTTTGTGGCTTTGCACTCCTGCTGCTGTCTTCTCTAATTGTGCCGGATCGCTTTTCCTTTTCCTTTTGTTTCGTTTTTCTTACCCCTCTTTTCCTATCTGCTTGTCTTTTCCTGCCGAGCTTTTGCTTGTTTTGGTTATTCCTTTGGACTTCTTCTATTTTGATGCCCGGGTGCTTGAGAAGGCACACTCTTGCACCCGTAGAACTGTAGTACCCGACGTCTCGAGCGAGGGGAACCTTTTATTGTCAATCCCCCTTTCGTCGTTGAACCTGATCTCGATGGACTGACGGTTCTTAAGGTGGCGTTTGTGGGGCGTATACTCACGACGCACCCCTGGGGGGCCCCGGCATGATCTGCAATAGCTTCCTGTTGGGTGTCCTGCCTCTAATTGTGGCTCCATGGTGGGTATGGAGGCACATTCATGGATGAATTTCTTTCTCCTTGTTTATATGTCGTTGAATGTTACTGTTGTACCCTTTCAGGCTCGTGGGGTGGGTGACCAAGCCCCCGAGTCAGCCTGTATTGGAAGACCGGGCCCTGTAGCCCTCGCTGCATTGGGCCCCGACCTTGCTCCTCCTTTGACCGTCCTGAATTCTTCCCCCGGCTCCCCTCCCTCTGTGGTTGGGTCGAGCCTCAAGCCCCCAGTGGTGACCACTTTGTCCCCTGGTGCGGCTAAGTCTCTCGTTGTGACTACTGCGCCTTTTGACCGCTCTCTCTCTGGGGGTTCTCAATGCCGTCAGCGCCACGGCCGCACTGATGCATATCAGGCCTTAATTGGTCCTGCTTCGTGGGCCAAATACTTTGATCTCCTCCCTCTTGACTCTGCGCCTCCTGATGATTTCTCCCTCCATCGGCATCTCGTTGATTCCGTGGATGCGTCTGTTACTTTCAACCCCACTCGTCTCGGTACAAGTGTCGTTGCTGCTCCTTCTCAGGATGCAGCTTCCCGCTTGGCTGCCTTATCCTGCCTTGGCGAGATCCCTGTTAGGGTTTCAAAGAACACTCGGTTGAATGCCAGTGTTGGCACTATTCTCCTCCCGCCCAATGTTGCAACCGGTGTTCGGAATCTACAGGACTGCCATGATGACATTCGCCATATCCTTGATGCCCAAGGCCATTCTGTCCTCCAGGTAGACTCGTTTACTCGTCCCCCTCATGGTCGTCGCTGTCAACCCCTTCGAGTTGTGAAGATCACCTTTGATAGTAGGACCCTTCCATCCTCTGTCATTCTTGCTGGTGCCAGGTGCTCTGTCAAGGAGTATATACCTTCTCCTTGGTTTTGTAACAAGTGCTGGAGGTTTGGGCATGGTGCCCTCCGCTGCTCTGGGACTGTCTCTCTCTGTCCTTTGTGTGGGGGTGAAGGTCACTCTAAGTCGGAGTGCATTTCTCCCCAAGCTCGCTGCCTCAACTGCGGTGAGGTCCATCCTACCTTCTCCCGTGCCTGTATCCATTACAAGCTTGAGGCGGCCATCCTCAACTTGAAGCACCGGGAGCGTTTATCTTTTCCCGAGGCGAGGCGCCAGGTTCGCCAGCTCCCGCCTTATGCTAACGTCTCTTATGCTCGCGTGTTGCGCTCTTCCTCTCCTCGTCCTTCCCACCTTCCTCAGACTCACAACCGTTTCCGGGCCTTGGACCCTGATACGCCCACTGCCTCCTCTGTTCCTTTGAGTTCTGTCCCGAAGGATCCCCCTCCTGGTCCTCTGTCTGGGGTTCCCCTTCTTTCTACCCGGTCTGTCATGTCTCCTGTGTCTTCTTCCTCGTCTCCCTCCGATCCTCCTTCCCATCCTTCTCCTCCATCTATTGACTCTCCCCGCCGCCTGTCGGTGCAGGCGGATGTCCATCGCTCTCCTAACGGCCGTCGTGTGTGCTCTCGTTCAGTTTCTCCTGTTGAGATGCTGAAATCCGTTGCCCGGTACGTAGTTACTGGGACACCGGTCTCTTCACGTCAGAAGCGTAAACCTGGCTCCTCTCCTTCCTCCTCCCGGTGGGTAAGAAGGCTTCGCTTTCTTCCTCGGCCCCTACTACTGGCTCTATTGCTCCTTCCCCTCCCATTTCAGTGGTTGCGCCCCCCTGTTCCTGTTATGGAGGTTTCTTTGGCCCCTGCTTCCCTCTCGGTTGCTGCCCTTGCTGGGGTGCGCTCCCCTCTTTCTACTCTCTCTTTTCCTGCTGCTGTCCTTGACTGCTCCTCTCCGTTGTCTCCTCCTCTTTCTCCTCCTTCGGACCCGACCCGCCCACCTCTGGTCTGTTTTCCCGCTTCCTTCCCTCCGTCTTTGCTCAGTTTACCCATGCCCCCTAACCCTGACTTTGCTGACCCTGATATTCTTTAACGTGCTATGTTGCTCTTTCGCCTTAGTTTTTTCCTTGTTCTCTGTTGTTGTCCTTTCTCTTCTCGTCGATGTCTGTTCTTCAATGGAACGTTCGAGGTTATTACGCCAATTTCCTTGAACTCCAACTTCTAATTTCGCAGTTTTCGCCCCTTTGTGTCTGTCTCCAGGAGCCGATGCGTGGTGCTCGTCCTGGTTGTTTTCGTGGCTATTCCTTTCTCCCCCCCCCCCCCAGCCGTTGCTGGGGCTCCTAATTCTTCTGCCCTCTTGATTCGTGCTGATGTTCCCTTTGTCCCCTTACTTTTTCCTTCGCCTCTCCATTGTTCTGCTGCTCGTATCTTTGTGGGGAAATGGTACACAGTTTGTTCCATTTATCTCCCCCCCCCCTGAGTGTCCTACTTTCTCTTCCTGATTTGAAACACCTCCTGGACTCCTTGCTGGAGCCTGTGCTCCTGCTGGGTGATTTCAATTGTCGTCATTCTCTTTGGGGTGATGTTCTGACGAATACCTGAGGTCGCCTTCTTGAGCCATTTATCCTCTCTTCTTCCCTGTCTCTTCTGAATTCTGGTGAGCCCACTCATTTGGACTCTTGGACTCGCACCCTTTCCTGTCTTGATCTTTCTCTCTGCTCTTCTTCTCCTTACTTAGATTTCACCTGGCAGTTTCTTGATGACCTCCATGGCAGTGACCATTTCCCCATCCTTGTTTCCTTTTTCTCTTTTCGCCCTTCCCTCTCCTTCCCTAGGTGGCAGTTTGCTAAGGCGGACTGGAACCTATTTACCCTCAGTGCTACTCTCTCTGACCTCTCCCATCTGCCTCTCCCTCGTGCTCTCCTCCTTTTTCATGACACTGTCTTCGACGCTGCCCTCCGCTCTATTCCTCGCTCTTCCTCTCGGGGTCCGTGGAAGTGCGTTCCTTGGTGGAATGCGGACTGTGCTCGGGCTGTCTGCTGTAAGCGTGCAGCCTGGAAGAGGCACCGCCGTCGGCAGATGGTCGATTCTTTTCTTTTCTTTCGGAAAGCGAGTGCGGTGGCCCGTAGGGCCATCCATATGGCTAAGCGTGAATGTTGGGCAGCTTATGTCTCCACAATTACGTCCGAAACTCCTCTGACACAGATCTGGAAGCGTATCCGCAAGATAGCGGGTAAGTTCGTTCCCGATGTTTCACCAGTCCTTCACCTCCATGGTACTCTTGTGGCGGACCCATTGCAGGTCGTTTCTGAACTGGGTTCCCACTTTTCTTCTGTTAGCTCTGGTCTTCATCTTCCCCAATCTTTCCTTCTTCGTAAACCTGTCCTTTGAGTCTCGTCCTTTAGATTTCTGCACTCGTCTTCGGCTTCCATATAATGATAACTTCTCTCTCTCTGAACTTCGTTCTGCCCTGGCCCTCTACGGTTCTACGGCGGCGGGCTCCGATGGCATTCATTATGAGATGCTTCACCATCTCCCTCCGTGCACGTCTCAGTATTTACCGAGTCTGTATAATCGGATCTGGGAGTCGTCGTCAGTCCCTGAGGACTGGCTCGATGCCGTTGTCCTCCCTGTTCACAAACTGGGGTCTCTGGGTACTTCCCCTAAGGACTTTCACCCTATTGCCCTCACAAGTTGTGTCTGCAAACTCTTTGAACGTATGGTTAACGTTCGTCTGATGTGGTTCCTGGAACACCATCACCTCCTCTCTCCTCAATTTGGTTTCCGTAAGTGCCGCAGCACGACAGATGTCCTGGTGAACTTGGAGGTCTATATTCGTATTGCTTTTGCTGCGAAGACCTCCGTTGTTGCTGTCCTTTTTTACCTGGAAAAGGCTTACGACACCACTTGGCGATATCATATTCTATCCCAGCTTCATTCTTTTGGCCTTCTTGGTCATCTCCCTCTCATTCTCCACAGCTTCCTCTCTCATCTTTCCTTTCGGGTGAGGGTTGGTACCGCTCTCTCTGCCTCTGCCCTGCCCAGCAATACGAAGGTGTGCCCCAGGGTAGTGTTCTGAGCACTACTCTTTTTCTGGTTTCCCTCAATGGTCTTCTTTCCTCTCTTCCTTCAGGTGTCTTCTCCACTCTCTATGTCGATGATCTTACCTTTT